AATTAAGAGATCGCTATTTAGTGTTCCTGTTTGCTACAGTAGTTTTGTTGTTCTATATGTTACATGCCTACGTTTACATTCTGTTTTATATTTATTCTAGTGCTGTCAGTGTTAATCTCATTAAAATGACGTTAACCGCATTAACGTGGTTAACTCTCTGTTAGTGAGTTAACGCAGATCGCCCCGTGCGTGGGGCTGCATGGCGTCAACGCGTTAGCGCGATTAGCTCGTTAACGGAGATTTGCCGCGTTAATGCATTTATGGCGTTAACGTCATTTTCGCGAGATTAACGCTGACAGCACTAATTTAATCTTTAATTTAATCTTTAATCTCACACACGCCACCGATTAATTTAACTGAGTGGATCACACACTCACCTCAAAAATGGTTGTTTTTGCATTCTGGACAATTCACCACGAAAGTTTAGCCACATTTCTTTTAAAAAAAGAAGCTGGATCTGATTACATCCATATTGAATACTAAGGCTCTGCAGTGTGAACGCAGCCTATCTCTCCTGTTTTGTTGTTGTTGTGGGGTTTTTTTTGTTTTTGTTTGTTTGTTTGTAGTTTGGGCGAATGACCCTTTTAGTTCAGATAAGATCCCCTGACATTATCATTTAGAGTTGTGGTCAGAAGTGTACACGCACTCATCATGAGCATGAATGTCATGGTAATTTGGGGCTTTTAAAGATTTCTTTTTCCAGGTTGGAATCATTGTGCATCTTTAATGACTCTTAAAAAAACCAAAACAAGAACGTTCCAGTTTAAATTGATTTTGGATTTTCTCTAAGACACACAAAAGTATACATGGTTTTCAGAAGGCCAGTCCAGAAGCGTAATGCTGGAGGTCGTCCTCCTCCGTCATTATTCTATCCGGTTTGTTCGATGTTCTAGCACCGCTGGCAGCAAAACAGCTGAGTGTGATGTTGAAAGCCTCACCTTCACTTCTTAAAAGATACCTCACGTCACTGCGGCCAAATAAGATCAATCTTTGTCTCGTCTGATCATAAAACGTTTCTTAAGGAGCCATTCTGCATCCTGTGTGGGCAACGGCAAATTTAAGTCGAGCTTGAAGGTGCCATTTTTTGCACAGGAGCTTCTTTCTTGGTCAACGCCCTCTGGGTCCAGTGGGATTCAGCCTTGGTGGTTCCTGGGCTTTTCCTGAACATCCTGACCAATTTGGGTCTTCTTCCAGGCCTCAGCAAAGTGGTGACACAACTGATTAAGTTCTGATCCATAAATGTTGATGCTCTTAATAATCTGCAGTTATTTGGAAATGACTTCACTAGACAATTCCATCTCTAACTGTAGAAATCTACAGTTCTCTTTCTCAGATCTTCACTCAGTTCCTTGGGCTTTCCATTTGCTCCGATCAATCCAGTGAATGATGTCAAACAAATCCTTTCAGATCCCGATCACCAACGACAAATAAACAGCCTTTGGTCTCGTCAAGTTAAAGCTTTGAGCTTCTTTAATAAGTAGAGCCATTGGAACCATTTGTATGCATATATTTATATAGCCCCAAAGTACCATGACATTAATCCCAGGATGATGCTCCTGTACCACTTGTACCATTATTGGACATTTTTAAGCTGATGTTACTCAGTAAGTTCACTGCATATCAGTTGTTAAGTTTCTGTTGGTTTATTTGCATCCTCAGTGCGTCATCGTGCATTACTTATTTCACATTACGTTTTTAATCATGATTTTTTTTTAACATGCAGTTTCATATAGAAATGATCCTGAGTAACAAATATTAGTTTTTTATGGAAAAAAATGTGTAAAATGTGAAAAATAACACTTATTAAAAGGTTAGCTCCTTAACATATCTGCTGATCACGCTTTATCTATCTCCAGATTTCCTCCTGGCGTGGTGGGCGTCGCCCCCGGTGGGATTCCCGGACCTATGGAGGGGTTGGTTGCCGGGGGAGTTCCCATCGCCCACACCCTGCCCCCTGGCACCCATCCGTCACAGGCCACCTCCCCCAACCAGCCCTCCAAACACGGCGACCCCATGAGAGAGCACATGACTGAGCCGTAGGACTGCTGCTGTAGCTGAGAAGAGGAGGAAACTAAAAATTGATGTAAACTAAAAAACAAAACAAACAAACAAACCCAGCGACCTAACAACTCAACCATCCGACTATACGTACGCTTGATTTCAGCCATCCGAACCTACCAGCAGACTGCCTGCCGGGCAACGTTTCACACTTTTTCTTCTTCTTTTTTTTTTTTTTGTGAAACCACTAAGTGAGGACAGTGGACGTTAATACACAAATGAGCTGCCACACGGATCTGAAATCTCCCCTCCCTTCATATCTTTTATCTTCATTCCTTCTCGATTTACGCAATACTTTTTGTTTTAGTATATTTTAGGGAGATTTCCTCCTGACTTATGGGACATGTTGACAGTAGCCACGTGCAGGATGGAAACCCTCCCCTCAAGCTCAACAGGACGACCCTGTTTCCTTCAGTCGCGCTCATTTCAGCACAAACATACCCTGTGTTTAGTTTTTTTCTTAGACTTTCTTCTTTTTATCCTATATTACTGTGTTTCTGTTCTTCAGTGTGTGAAAATGAACAGATTTACAGTTTTCAGACAAGAAAAGAAAAACAAACTGCACTCCATCTTTGCTGGCTAGAGGCCGCCTGAGTAAAGAGATGGGATGCGGGGCAGTAGATGTGGAAAAATCATCCTTTCAAACCAAAAAGGAGGAAATATAAAGAATAAAAAATGGCAGGCTTTCATGGTTAAATATCGTACATGGACTGCGTCACTTAAATTATGTATTCCTGTTGTAACTTTTCCAAACTCTGCTGAACTGAGGTACTTTTATTTAGTTAAAGTGGCGAACGGTGTCCCAAATATTATCTGTTTGCATCCAAAGGACCTTTGGAGAAAAAGAAAAAAGCTTCTGAAGTATGAAAGCTTTTGGAAAAACAAAAACAGCAAATCTCTTACTGACTCAGGAACAATATAATAACCTTCAATTCTGTCCAAAAAGGAAATAGAAAAAAGTTTAAAAAAAGAAAAAGAGAAAAAAATAGGTCTTGATTACTGCTCCTCACGTCTCCACGTCTTTCTCCATTGTGGTATTTTTTATATATCAAATGTACATTTTTTGATGTTCAAGCTTTTCACTCCTGTTAGATTTGTATTGCCTTGTTAAATGTTCATATAATCGTAGTCTGATGTGACCAACCGCGTCCTCTCCTCCTTATAGTTTCTTCCTCCTTGTTTTTCTGCTCTAATGAAAGCCAGCTGTGGCGCCCTCGGAGGCGTCGAGCCCTCTCGGAACAATGGCAGCCACGTTCATTCCCTTTAGCCCCGTGACGTTAGCAAGAGGCGGCTGCTCGCAGATTGTTTGGTTTTTAGTGTGAGTATTTGTATTTGTTTCTTGTACAAGGTGAACATATAGCATACAGTGCAGCTGGAACCAATAAATAAAACTTACTGTTCTGATTGATCGATTGGCTCCGTGGAAGGTTTTTTGGTTTGCTTTTTATATTGTAAGGTAAAGACCTTACTGTTGTACAGTCAGATGACTTTCTATTAGGAAGCACTTGGCAATGGTGGGAAGGAAAAACTCCCTTTAACAGGAAGAAAACTGCAGCAGCAGCGCTCTCAGGGATTGCCAGCCAACTGCTACGATCAGGTAGGTATGAAGGGGAGAGCAAAGGACACACTGTGATCACGCTACAGTTTTTGTCAAACAAAATTTTTGTTTTCTTGATTGTTATGACTGAAGCACGGTAACTCAAAAGGAATTTTGCCGTCACAGTTCCATCACAGCGTTAAGATGTATTGCCTGAAACTGCTTTTCCCTATATCACCAACTGTTCATCCAAACAGTGAACAGTGAAGGGATAAAACATTCAAGTACTACAAAAATTGTCCAAATATCCCTGCCAGTCTCCTCTGGCTGCACAGCTTGTCACTTTATGTTTTAGGTTCTAGCCATGGCTCACTTCAATCCATTTATCTTAAGTGCAAAATTCAAATTAGCCCATAAGTATATGCGTTTATATGTATATTAAAAAAAGAAATCTCCCTCTCACCCCCTGGGGGGGTGGTATGTTTGTGATAATGAAGCTTGGGCCCTCGATCCGAGTCCTGGGACTTTAATGGGTTCTGCCTTTCTTAGGTTCTGGGATCACGTTGAACTTGACTTTCCACATCTGCTCCAGTTGTTCCTTAAGTTCCTGTTACGTCATTACGGTCTTTGAAATAATTGGGCTGGGGTTCAAATCCCAGTCAATGCTTGCATCCAGTAATGGTACCCAGGTTAGCCTCCCCCCACGCTACACATGCCACTACCCTCTGATGCAGGGGTGTCAAACATCTAATCCACCAGACCTTATGTGCTCCTTCATATTTGACCACAGAGTTTGACCTTTTAACTGTTTTCTGTAAATTAATGAAAACTTTATATTTTCAAACTACAATAACTTAAGATGGACCTTCAATTCACCTGGTTTTAGTTCCACTAGAGGGAGCTGTAACCTGAACACATATGACATAAAAAAGCTTCAGAAAGTAGGTCCAATTTAAAAAAAACAATACAAAAAAAGTGACACACTTAAACCTGTGGACATGTTGAGGACATCATTAGCTGATAAATGAAGTGACAGGAAGCGTTTTAGTTGGACATTCAAAAAGGTTCTTTTATTTATTTTTTCCTTATTTTTGCCCATTTCTTTGTGTTACACTCTGTTTAGCGAAGTCACGCCTAAATCCACAAACCATCGTAGTCACAACTGCAACTATTGCATAAATACAAAGCAACATACAGGTGATGCTCAAAAACGTGTATGACTTGAATGAAACACAAAGAGGTTACAGAGTGCGATGGCGAGAGGAAACAAGATGCAAACACTCACAGCAAAAAGAGAGAGAAAGGAACAACTTTTTTTTTCGTTTTCTGTCAGCTTTGGTTTTATGTGGTGAAATCTGTCACTAATCAAAAAAAAGTGGGTTCACATGATGACAACAAACGGGCTTTACAGAGGCAGCGATGTCACGTGTACCATGAGGGTGACCTCCACAACACAGGCTGTAAGGAAGGTGGGGGCAAACAGGAACTACAAGACAGCGATTAGACAAGCGTGACTCAGAGTGGGTGGGGGGTGGGGTTATGTCCACACTCACCTGCCCAGAAAAAAATAAAAGCACCAGGTTTTAGGCATCCATATGAGGTACTAAAAACCATAAGCAAAAAATCCAAGTAAACTTTTTCATTGATGGTTATGATTGGTTCTTTCCTCGCGGCAACAGTGTTTCTGTGCAATGTGTCTTCATCAAGATTGAATCATTAACAAAACCACAAAAAAGAGAGAAAATAATAATATACAGAAAGCTCTTATTAGCTCAAATAAGTTTCCAAACAATAAATATGTAGAATAAATTCATAGAAGATAAAACACACACACACGACTTCAATCAGTCTGAAAAAGGTAAACCAAACGATCCAACATGAACGTTAGTGCGCTAAAACTTAGTGAGTGTAGACTTGACTTGTGAAGGGAACATCTCCCTTTTCAAGAGCTTCATATGTGACCTCAATTCAAGCAACGATACTGTATTTATATAGAAATGTTTTAATAAATGTGCAGTGCTTAGTATTAAGGATTAAAGTCATTTGTGATTACAGAATCTCTTGTTTTTTTCATTAATCTTCTGGAGATAAGATTTATTGGTTTTGTCCCTGCCTGTTTGAAAACAAAAAGCCAAACAAGCCAACTCTTATCTGGAAAAAACTTGGATGTGCCCTTTTTTTTTTCCCCCAGTGCCCATATTGAATGGATATAAAGTATTTGAATCACTGCTGGTATATTTCCTTACACTCTTTTTTTGTTTTTTGTTTTTTGTTTACAACCACATGCATTTACATCTATGGATAAAGATTTTTTTTCTTCCTTTACATTTAAAACTCAAATCAAAATTTTGCATTCGTAAATCTTTTTTCTCTCCGTTAGACTCAGGCTGGTCTGAGAAAAGTGTTTAATGTGTATATCCGAGCGCCTGTGTTT